TTATCTTCACAGACATGTGAACCAAATCCATCAACTGGCATTTGTCCAGACAGACAGACGAATGGATTGCTCCTGTATATCCCCACTCAAACTTCATTCAATAGGATAGAAATCTATCCGTAAGAGTGTCAAAGGGTCAATGTCCATAGATGCCACAACAAAAATTGCCTAAAGTTTGGATGTGTACAGGATTAGACACAGGATTTGATGTGTTTTATTAAGACATTACCAGAAGCTTTGCAGAATCATGCGTCCATTCTTTGTTGACATTGAACGGGGTTTCTCAGTCATTTAAAACTGGATGCTTTATATTGCTATTATACAATCACCATGTATTCAAGTGACAGTATTCATTGTGAACATTATATGATAGCAATAACCTGGCATTACTAGTATTGTCTTCTCCCTATCAAAAAATTCATAAAAAATGGTGGCCATTTTGAATTCAGAGAATGTCAGTAATGTCTCATATTCTTGGATTGTAATATTGATTCCTGCAAGATGGGGAGGGGCATTGCTCATTTATACATTATATCATAGTTTGTGATATTAGATGTTTGCTTTTGATATGATTGGTTGTAATATTAGATGCTTATTTTTTTCATACCCGTGTTTTGTTATGCTATAAATTAAGTCTTTCCACTTTTACATTCACATTTGGATAATCTTCATTATGGCATACATACATAAAGGTATACATTAACAAAACGGAAGAGTTATATTAATTTCTTTATACATTGTATTATTACATATTTATGATTTACAGTTTACAAAATGCAGTAATAACATATTATTCAACTTATATTGGAGATTTACAGATACTTGACACTGAACGCTCCAGAATTCCCACTTCTCTTCAAAGTATATGTCATTTAAATAAACAATATTCCAAAGAATGTTTTTCACACTTTTTGCATCAAATATTTCACTATTTTATCAACTCAAACAATGATTTTCCTAATACATGTAAACAAACGCCAGATTGAAGTATTCAGGTGAGGAATGAAAATGAAGTTTAATATGAAATCAAAATACAGATTAGTTGACATGGTTGATGTACTTATCTTTCTGTAATATTGTACAGTACATGTATATCATGTGAATATTTTACAATTACAATTGTTGACCTTACGTTTAAGGAAAATTATGAAATCAAGCCTTAATGATAACGCTTACAAATTGGCATATCCCATATTTACACGCCACAACTCTTTACACTCAGGACTTTTTACATAAAAACTATGAACACTAAAATTTCAGTCAATTTCCTTCTCAAGTTGTAGGCTCTACACTAGAGACTATATGAATGTACTTAGCAGACTAGATAGGGTTGTACAAACTAAAACAAAAATAATGTTTTTTAAGTTGCAAGCTACAAAATAAAAGCATTTAATGATTGCAAATAGATCAAACTTTTACTAACAGGATTCACTATATCAGGATGCAGAACATAAAAAAAGAATTACAAATTAAAATAACTTAGCTGATATAATTCTACGAGGGTTGTCCCAGAAGTAATGCACTATATGCTCTAACTTTCTTCAATATTCTTCAATTCAGCTGAAATTTAGTGTATATAACAATTGAACTTTTATCTGATATATCCCGAAGTTTCAGCATCATACATTAATATTAAGTCTTGCTATAGCAACACGGGGGTACAGGTGGGCGGGGCAGGTACCAATTTCCCATTTGTTTCATTTCTTCAATCTTATGGATCAGAGTATTGTCTCCTCTAAATCATCACATTTTCCTTCAATAAAGGGTGAAGTTTAAAATATTAGAATTGCAATTGTTTTTGTACACTTTTCAACATCATCTTGCAAGGTCATGCTTCTATGAATCAAACAAGAGCGAGTGAGTGAGTGAAAAAAGCAATAACTGAGAGCCTTGAATTGAAATATAAATGATACCATAATGGGTCATCACTAGGAGCGTTTTACATACCATTGCTCTACATAAAAAAAGATAACCTAAGATTTCTCCATGTTGACTCTGTTTCTAACTAATTCATCTCTATTTCACTTAATTTCAATTCATAATATGACTCTTTGTGTATTTAATTTGGTTTGTTTACCTGTCAGCATGAGCATGTAGTAGATATACACATTTCCTGGCTCACTCTGTAAAATGACTATATATGTGGACTCACGGTTTTTCTGACCCACTCTGTATTGCTGTATGCCCTTATGTTATAATGAATTATTTACACTTGGCTAAATCAGATACAAAGAATCAGTCTAATAGAGATATGCCATTCTTATATAAATATCGTTGATCGTGATTCATAGAATTCAATAGTCTTGCCAGTGTTGCCATGTATGTTGTAACACAAACACAATGGAAGACACAATGAAACTTCTAGAATCCTAATTCAAACAATTTCAAGGAACATGATCCTCATTACTAAACGCTCCCCTATCTAATCATCCCCCTTCTTAAGATAATGAAGGGGTGTGTCTTCACGTAACCACTCTGAAGCCTAACCATTATTTACAGATACGTACAGCTAAGTATAACAACACCCAGCCAACATGTATCTATTCAGTAGCTGTAAATCCATTTATTCTATAGTAAACCAAATTCTTTGTATCTCATCTGCTCTCATATTAGTAAATAAGCGAAAACATCTTATTAAACATCAATGTTGAGTGAACAACAAAATTGCCTTTAATTCTTATTGAGGCAATATTTTAATTTATTCAGTTATTTTGACGATGAACATTGAATTTTCTTGACCCCATTGATTTATAGAACTAAATCATAGATGTGGTCATAAACTGAAAACTTCGATGACACTTGGATCGTTTTTTCCTTGGAATATTTGAATTAGCAGATAATCAATCAGGAATCTAGAAAACACCAAAATACATGTAATTGTGAAGTATGAACCTATACTATAGAGTTTGTGAAGAACTTTGCATTTCAAAATATTTTGCCTCAAAAAGTCATTCCAAAAAACCTAAAAGATACATGACCTTTCCTGGGGAAATCATAGATTTGAGCATTCAAGTACTGATTTTTTAACAATATGAATATTCACATATTTCTCATTATGAAGAATTTCAAGGCATTTTCTGCATCTTTAATACAGTTTTTTCGCAGCTCATTAGTCTGATTCCTGATAAACTTGACCCAAGTGTCATTTCCATTTGAAGTTTTTTAGGTCAGTTAAAATATCTACAGTTTGGAGCATAAATAAATGAGTCATGGATTTGCTGAAGTGAGGGTTTCCCGTGTTAAAAATAAGAGAATTTTCAAGAGGCCATACATCAGTGGATGAGAGTATACAAAATGTAAAATATAAATATTTTAGGGGATATGTATCTAGACAATATTGGAAACTATGGGCTTTCAAACCACCAAGGTTTGGAAATGGTGATAGAAAATCGACTAGCCTACTCATTTATTTATGGTCCAAACTGTACAGACATTCTGACCTTTTTATACTAAGCCACTTAACAGAGGGGGATTGCTCCCAGAATTCCAAGCTAACTATAAAATTAAAAGGTGACCAATCATAGTGTACCAAAGTGCATACAATTATGTGACTGCAGTACCTCCCCTATTCTTTGCATTGCAATTTGTGTAATTTATATTTACATATCTATTTACAAGTCTGACAAACATATTAAAATACAATTAAGTTCTGCATTTAATTGATAATTACAGTTAATATAATATTACCACATTAACATTAATAATTAAACTCAACAGTCATCTCATAGAAGAAAATTTTATGATTTGCAAAAATAGCATCCATACACTCAATTAAGACTGGTAACAAAAATTAATGCATTTTTACAAAACAAAGCTTGAACACGGGAAACAATGGCAAGAAATTAAATAGTAAATCTTGAAAAGACATTAACTAATTATTACAAGCTTCTTACTAAAAGTAATAATAATCATAGAACTACTGACTTTGTAAGACTTTACAGGTCACCATCTGGTTACAGACATTGATAACTTAAAATATTCACAACAATGTTAATTTGAAATGAATCTGAAATTGTAACACAACTGAATCATAAAAAGGCACATAAATATATAAGCAGTTTAAATTCAACAAATTATCAACAAAATGTAACCAACCATTTGAGTACCAGAGTTATATGGATAATCTTAGAATGACGAGAACATGGATGCATTAAAAAAATGAAAATAGTGTTGTAATGGTGAGTTTTCCTAAAATACGCTAAAAATCTCAGTTTACATCAAGAAAAATGTCCAAAATTGGTCAAAATATTTTTCATGATTTCTCCTTTACTCAACAGAGATTTTGAACTTGGTTAAAGTTGATTCTCCATCGGGTACTGGATCCAATAGCTTGAAAGACAGATGTGGGGGGAAGCAGACGAACAGGGTACCATGACACATGAGTATGAATTTGATCCGTTTATAATGCTGAATATTTAATATGGAAGCTGTCATGGCAAGCCCCAATATCAGAAAGTGACATGTCTCATAAATGCAAAACATACTTTATGTAGAAATAAAAAGAATATGAAAATGAATTACATGTTTTATCAAACTTGGCAACTTGATTAACTTTTTAAAGAGATTACGTCCTAGATTAGATGAAATTGAATCTTTCCGAAGTATATCTCCTGCTGGCTAATATAGATAATAATAATTATAATTAAACAAGTGAAAAATAGGCATATGGTACAACAATATAGCATTATTTTACTTAAAAACATATTAAGTTGTTCTGATATCATATTTTGGCTGACATTATATCTATCAATATCTTGCATGTCCATGTGTAGTTAGATATATCCATCTATCATAAATATGTTAGAAGTTGGTCCTGTTTCAGTCACATAATCCATTTGGATGTTTCAGATAATCCAAATGGATATTTCACTTGATCCATATGGATATTTCACATAATCCATTTGAATATTAAATATAATCCATATGGATATTTCACATAAGCTATATGGATATTTCAGATAATCCAAATGGATATTTCACATAAGCTATATGGATATTTCACATAATCCATTTGGATATTTCACATAATCCCTTTGGATATTTCATATTTCCTTCAGTGATATTTCTAAATATTCCACTATTATATTCAGCATATTGGAGAAACCATTTAACTGGTTGACTGCCATACAATATTCCAATATACTCCACAGACAAAAGTCCAAATTTCTCCACCTTCTCCACCTTAGATCTCCTTTCTCCACCTCTAGTTGTAATCCAGTTTTTAATACTTTCTCAAAAAGCCAAAACTTTCAATGATTGGCAGAAATGAATTGCGATATTTTATCTTTGAAATCACATCAGCATTAACAATATTGGACGTATGATGTTGGAATGAAACCTTCACTTCCGTCATGTTTGCGTGCACGTGTCCAGCCATCTCCCTGATCTTGTTCCACAATATCTAAATCTTCACCTTCCATCATAGAGATAGCGCCATCACTGTTGGCTGCAAAAATAATGAATAGTGTTCAACATATGAACAACCTCTTGTACTGATTTATATGTTTATTTATTTATTTATTTATTTATTTTGAAGTATTAATTGTGTGTATTGTTATATATACTGTTTTCTGTTGTATTGATATATTGTAAAATTAGTGTTTACTTTGTGTACACTTAACCCTTTATGGGTATGTATGTGTAATAGAGTTCATAAATCTAAATCTAAATCTATGACTTCATAAGAAATATATAGGAGTGACATTAAAATTCATAAATTGAAGAAAGGCACCCTTATACAGTATTAGTCAATATTGAATGTCCTAAATCATCAATCTGACACCAAACCACTCCCTTTACTCAAATTGTTTTTAAAATAAAATGCTGTTCCCTTTGAAAAATTGATATACCCTAACAAAACACTCTCAAACTTGCCAAAACTTAAATAACATTTGCAGTCATATATGGGTATAAATGTATTGAACCATTCCATATATACATGTACAGTAGTTAATTCAATAAAGAACTGAAGATCATAAAAATAGACCTATACCCTACCTTCAAAAGAATAAAGAGCTTTTGCTTTCCCAATGACTGGCAGATAGTCTGCGTCATCCAAGTCATCAAAGCTATCATCAAAACTGTCGGCCCGTGACTTCCTGTCTGTTGCAGGTACCGGGGAAGCATCTCCGCCTTCCTTTATTTGGCTAAAAAGTAACAAAAATACATTCATGTTAATTTTCTTCATTGCGATCACACTTTATCTCTTAAAAGCTGATTGTGATAAATTCAGCTCTATTTTTATTTCCTTTATATCCATTCTGATTATAAACAAATTGTTTGAGTTACAAATTTTCTACATATATGGTAAACCTCATCAGTTTACCTGATGGAGATATATTAATTGAAAATTTGTGACTGAACAATTTATTTTAACACTTCTAAACATAATGCATACTGATAACAGTTCAGTTTAAACGTAATGCATACTGATTACAATACAGTTTAAACAAAATGTATACTGATTACATTACAGTTTAAACATAACGCATACTGATTACAATACAGTTTAAACATAATGCATATTGATTACAATACAGTTTAAACATAATGCATACTGATTACAATACAGTTTAAACGTAATGCATACTGATTACAATACAGTAACATAATGCATATTGATAACAATACAGTTTAAACATAATGCATATTGATTACAATACAGTTTAAACATAATGCATACTGATTACAATACAGTTTAAACGTAATGCATACTGATTACAATACAGTAACATAATGCATATTGATAACAATACAGTTTAAACATAATGTATACTGATTACAGTACAGTTTAAACGTAATGCATAATGATTACAATACAGTTTAAACATAATGTATACTGATTACAATACAGTTTAAACATAATGCATACTGATTACAATACAGTAACATAATGCATATTGATAACAATACAGTTTAAACATAATGTATACTGATTACAATACAGTTTAAACATAATGCATACTGATTACAATATAGTACATGATACGTATAAATTCATGAATTATTTTAAAATTTTTGATTATTTTTTTTTCAATTTAGTTGACAAATTAAAAGTTATAATTGTATGTTTGAACATATCCTGAAAAATGAAAACGTTTGAAACACCAATAATAAACAAAAACAATTGAGCATATCACAAAAACATGGCTTAAAAGCAAGCACATGGGGATTGTGCACAACATTAATTTTGTTGTAAATTATAATTAGGTTAACAAACATGTAGTCCCAATCCTGCACAAATAGCTAAAAGACTTCATAAACAAGTCAAAAATAAAAAAATCCACAAACTCTCAGTCAGTTACTCCCACATATCAAACTGATTCAATTTGATAATTTAGCCTTGTATGCAGCACTGATATCAAATTAATTAAAATGTTAACAAAAAGGGTTTGAAAAATAATTGGAACATACAATTCGGAGTGCAATGGATTGAGTCATGATAATATTGAATCATTACAAAATATTAAGGCTTGGGGTTCCTTTATAGGGGGTGACAGTACAGTGCACTTCTACATGGTAAAAAATAAAATGAACTTAATTTTAAAGTTAATGTTTAGAATTAGATAACTTCATTACTTTCTAATGAGCAGCTATATATGACTATATCACTACAGGAATGTACTGTACATTACTCTTATCTAACTAAGACTAAAATTGAACTAATTTTAGTTTGAATAAGTATCTAACTGGGAGGTCTATGTATATGTAACTTTCCTAATGATAGTTCTGTGAACAGTATGCTACTAATATAATATTATCTAAAATGTGAATTTAATATAATGTGAGCTTTTTCAACCAGTGAAAGTAATCATTTTTACTCTTTTTTATTTCCATCAATGTCATGCCAGTGTGTTCGCTGCTAAGCCCCTATCTTATATGCTTATAGATGGCGTATGTGTCCATGCAAATTTGTGCCATTTAAATTCAGAACAAATACACTGTAAAAGCCATACATTAATAAGTGCAAAACTAAATCATCCCAAATAATGTGATTTAAATATCAAATGCACACTTTTCTTAGGTAAAAATCAAAACTTTATTGTAGGCTTATTAAAAATCCACCACTTATTATACTTGTTAGAATGTCAATAGGATTCAGAGAACAAAGCCAAAGTGAGCAAGTAACACTTCTATTATCAAATCAATAAATTTCAATATTTATTTATTTTTGACTTTCAAAGTCCAAAATAAGCCAAACAATATATCAAATTCAAAACATCAAAAGCAACAAAATTTTAGTTCCTAAAAATAGACTGGAAATCACTCAACCCCAGTTAGGGCCCCAGTTAGTATAATGTGAACCACAAATGCTTATTAAATGAGGCACAAATGCTTATCAAAAATATGAGCCACAAATGCTTTAAAGAACCATAAATGCTTATCCTACTACCCCCTGTACCTATATATTGGCTCTCGATGACAATGCACTATGTGCATAGACTGAGACCTCCGCGGTGGGGTAGGTTGAGATTTTTCTGCGGGAACTTTAACGCTGCCGGTATTGCGGTAAAATGGTGGATATCTGAGCAGAAGCACATACAAAGCAGAGAATCAATATGAGAGGTTGTCAACTGAATTGATGATTTGCGATCACCGAATGGATTCTGTCTTTTAGTGACGTCACAATTAGGTCACCCAGCTTTAGATGCTTGATTTTGAGAGATTATCTTCTATATTTCGTGCTTTATTGATTTATTTTTCACGAAAGCGTTCTATTTGACTAGATCAACATTCATGCTAAGCACATACCAAGTCTAAGGTCTTACTGACATGATTTAGATAGCGGTTTAGCGCCCCCCGATTTTGACAAAAACGGGGGGCGCTTATAGGCATCGATGTTTAGTATGAATTTCACCCAAACTTCGCATATATATAGACATACTCATGATCTAGTCAAATAGGCATACCTGGTAAATATCCGACCCATGGTTTTTATATAAGAAACGACAATATTTTTAGCTCAAAACTGCCACGTGTCCGCCATTTCGTGATTCCATCATGTCTAATATCATTTCTATATGACGTCATACCAATAAGACGAAATACGTGACAACAGTATCCATAAACAAAATTCCTGAATTCTGATCGCAAAAGGTCAATTCATTGCTAACATATTTTCAGGATGGGAACATTTCACATTTTATCTTTTTTAAATAAAAGAACAGAATATTGAGAAATCTCATATCAAACCTATCAGTGATTTTGTACAATGCTACATTAGCATTATTTCTGAGAAACATTTCTTGTAAAATTAAATCATTTTCATTTTTCATAGATAGGTGGTACATATCAAAAAAAACAAAAAAAAAACAGAATTAAACATCTAACAAAGATTACCATATCCCCACAAAGGAAGGTTAACAATACAATTGTACCCTTGGAAAGGAAACACTGTACATGGATAAGTGATCAATCCGTTGGCCATCATGTAACATAGATTAAACACAAGAGGTGCGTATACCCCAGAATTCATCTTTATATAATAGAGACAGGTTCATTTTTGAATTCTGGGTTATCTCCCCCTCTGGCTTAAAATCTTTGAATTCTGGGTTACCTCCCCCTCTGGTTAATTTAAACAGTGAACAAAGGGCAGTTGTGATTGGCTGGGGTTGCCAAGCAGATGAGCAGGGTACTGAACTGTACTAAAACTGTACTAGAACTGTACTAAAACATACTTTTCTAGAGTTTTTAAACTTGCTAGAGATTTTGACTTATTTTTCCTTCTAAATCCCCTACAATTGAAAATATGTGTGTATATGTAACTGAGATACGAATCATCAACTACAATTAATAAAAAGATGAAGGCTTTAAGTTAAAAGATCAAACAGTTTATGAAAAGGCTTTTCAGCCTCCTTAAAGTAAATAATTTAACTTTATTTACAACCACCTATACAAGGAGTTGAATTAAGGATCCCCTTAGTATTACTTCTGACTACAAAAGTCATCCATTACATTCTGACAAGATTCCATAAAAATAAAAATAATATCTGTTAAAATAATGTTTATAAAAACATCCAATGAGACATAAATAAGATCCACGACAATAATAAAATTCATTACATTCATGCAAGTCATTGAAAATCAAAGATCTATAAAAACTTTCAAAAATATTATACAAGTTGGTCTAAAGGGTCTTCTTACTTATTGTGTTTAATGGAAGGGGTCCCCTGAGTCGAGCAACTGATATCTGAAGCACTACGAGTGATACTACTGGAATCTTCTGAGGAAAGACTATTGCGTCCGGTACGATTATTTGTTCGCTGAGCTGTGGGAGGAGTGAATTTCCCTTCAGCAGTCGCTAAATATGTCTGCAAAGAAACAGTCAATATTGTGGATGACTGATATAACAAAAGGCATTAACATGCCAAACACCAACCGCCAAATGTCAAACACCGTCTCCAAAGAAGTTGGAGGCTATAATAATATGTCATCACATATGGTGATGACATCACTGTTGGTGACATAATGTCACAGGACAATATTTCACGAATCTAAATCTTATGAATATATTTATACAGAAAATGGGGGTTAAGCAGAACGAGATCTAAGATGTCCAAGTTGTATGTTTTTAATTCAAGTCCAGATATATTCAAGGATACATCAAACTTACCTCATATTTCTGCATTTCTTGTTTAAGACTGTCTAATTTTTGAGCGTTTTCTTCCAACTGTTTATCAAGACTACTTGGGTCACCTAAGGCAGGGTTCTGTACATAGACATCTCTCATCTTTACCATACCATCTCTGAATAACATGCACAGTATATATATAGAGAGGTTATTTCATCCAAGGGAAGAATTATAGAATCATATCCTATGATTTTGAGGAATATCATTTTTATCTACGAGGTGATATTGATATCTGCATGAGAGAGCAAAGCAAACAAGTGCATATATCAATATCACCAAGTAGATTAAAATGACATTCTGAAAAAAATTATAGGATGTTCTTATTATCCTACACTTACAAGGAGTGTACTAAATGTATAATATCATTGCAAAATGAATTCCATACCAAATAGAGTCAATTTGGCGGAAAATCAACAAGCAGAGTATATCGTCACAATATCCTCCGCATATTGGGTTTTCCGGAGTATATCGTCACGATATCCTACGCATATTGGTTTTCCGGAGTATATCGTGGCGATATCCTCCGGTTATTCATTTTGCCAATAGATATCAAATTTATTTTTTAATGCTATTATACATTTAGCACACTAAGTGTAGGATAAGTGTGGATATTATTCTAAGGTACAATATGATTATGTTGACTGAAGGCTTTAGCCAATGTCAATTTGACATTTGCCAATATTATAATTACTTTTTTAACAGTTTAAGATATCTTCTGGCCAGTATTATTATAAAACTAATATGTTAAATCTGAATTATCAATATGGATATTTCGCATAATTCTTATGAATATTTCACATAATTTGAATACTTGACATTATCCATTTGAGTATTACATAAAATTCATAGGAATATTTCATATTTCTTTCAGTAATAACTCACCGTTCTGCAGTATCTTTAGCTATAAGCTGCTTGAAATTATCTATTTTCTGGTTGAGTTTTTTCTTTTGTTGGTTTGGAGGCAAGTTGCTAAAGTCTTCTTTATTTGGGTCACCCTGTAACATAATATACAAATGTAAGGACACCCTGTAATAATACATCAACTAACTCATCAAAATTGCTTTTTCTTGATTATAGTATTAACATCATGACTATGTTAAAGATAGTAAGCCATTCTCAGTAAAATCTAAGACCTAGTTTCATACGATTTAAAAAATCTAGAAATGTTATTTTGTTGTACGTTTCTTTTGCTGGTTTGTAATAATCTTGAGGGTGATATCATCAAAAAGCAACACTATGCATGCAGGTCAGAAATTGCTCTTGGGTTTGGTTACTAAGGATTTATATGTGGTGTACATCAAAATCATAACTTTATAACTAAACATCAAAATTACAACATAACTCAAAAAGGCTGGTAAAAAACAACAATAACAACATATGATTTAATTACAACATAACAATTCAAAAATAATATACATGCTGTGATTCTTCAAATGATGTAAATAAAAAAATGTTTATTAAAATTAACTAATAAAGGCAGAGATCATTTCCCATGAATCATCACTGACAAGCCAGCTATTTCCTCATGGGATACAACCATCTTTGTGATTAGAGGATGACAAAATGAAACAAGAGACAACAATCATATTGGCTATAACAGAACACCTACCAATAAACCTATGATCTGTAATTTGGATAAAATAAAGAAATGTTCATTACAATATTGTTTTTAGGGAACAACACCATATATGGACAAAAGTGAATCACCATTCATTCTGCACAATGTGACTTTTACATACAACTGGTACATAATATACTTCTAATCTATGGGAACCATCACAATTTTCACCACAAAGGACATATCTATAGAAAAAATCAATCACCTCAAGTTTAAATTTCCAAAATAGGCAAATTATATACCGTTTTAGATTGATGAATTAAAAGCTGAAATTGTCTGTCTATAGACAGATTTCAACATTTGAGTCATTTTTCTATTCAGCATTTAATCTGACATACCTTTGAACCTCTACAAATTTTATTCTTATTATTTTTTAATCAAACTTACCTTTGAGCTACTAAATAAGCCAAAGAGTTTCCCCCGCTTGGTGCCTTTTCCAGCAGCCCATGTTCCACCTTTGGTCGATCTGTTATCTGTTGGAGTGCGCTGCACTGTGTTGGCATTCACCTGATTGTCATTACCATTGCTTAGATCATCGAATGCTATATCGCCTGGATGTTGGAAGCCTGATTTGTGTCTCTCTATGACTATTCGAGAATCCTGAATTGCAAAAGTCGTTATTTTTTTAATGTTACTTAATTATTTCAACCTGAATTATTTCAATGCAGATTTCTGAATTTTCAATGATCACTTTCAAATCATGACTACTGTATTTCAATTTCAACCATTTTGCAACCATGACTTTTCAACCATGACTATTTCAATCATGACTATTTCAACATTGATTATTTCAACACTGACTATTTCAACAATGACTATTTCAAGTGTTGCTTACCTCCTGTGAATTGATTGACTCTGATGCTTTGACTATTCCATCCAGACATGTGTTTATAATTGGGATGACACTGCGCTCAACTTCTGCTGACCTTTTTATAAAATCTGACTGCTGCGTTATACGCTTCTCATCCATATCTTGTAATTGCTGAAAAACATTTGGAATAATTGTTTGCATATTGTTTATCATGGAAATTTCATCTGAGAATTTTAACAATAGATATTTACAACTCGTATGTCAAGTATGTTTCAAAAGGATAAACTGCATAAAAAAGTACATGGCAATAGCACTTCACGCCATTTTTAGCAAATCGAAAGACCTAGAATATCTGTGGCATTAGCACATATCTTAGCACACCATACATACCTGGGATATCTGTGGCATTAGCACACCATAATGATAGCACACCACAGTACATACCTGGAATATCTGTGGCATTAGCACACCATAATGACAACACACCATACACACTTGGAATGGCTGTTGCATTAGCACACCATAATGATAGCACACCATACACACTTGGAATGGCTGTGGCATAAGCACATCATGATAAAACACCATACATACCTGGAATATCTGTGGCATTAGCACACCATAGTGATAGCACACCATACATACCTGGGATATCTGTGGCATTAGCACACCATAATGATAGCACACCACAGTACATACCTGGAATATCTGTGGCATTAGCACACCATAGTGATAGCACACCAAACATACCTGGGATATCTGTGGCATTAGCACACCATAATGATAGCACACCACAGTACATACCTGGAATATCTGTGGCATTAGCACACCATAATGACAACACACCATACACACTTGGAATGGCTGTTGCATTAGCACACCATAATGATAGCACACCATACACACTTGGAATGGCTGTGGCATAAGCACACCATGATAAAACACCATACATACCTGGAATATCTGTGGCATTAGCACACCATAGTGATAGCACACCACAGTACATACCTGGAATATCTGTGGCATTAGCACACCATAATGACAACACACCATACACACTTGGAATGGCTGTTGCATTAGCACACCATAATAATAACACACCATACACACTTGGAATGGCTGTGGCATAAGCACATCATGATAACACACCATACATACCTGGAATATCTGTGGCATTAGCACACCATAGTGATAGCACACCATACATACCTGGGATATCTGTGGCATTAGCACACCATAATGATAGCACACCACAGTACATACCTGGAATATCTGTGGCATTAGCACACCATAATGACAACACACCATACACACTTGGAATGGCTGTTGCATTAGCACACCATAATGATAGCACACCATACACACTTGGAATGGCTGTGGCATAAGCACATCATGATAACACACCATACATACCTGGAATATCTGTGGCATTAGCACACCATAGTGATAGCACACCACAGTACATACCTGGAATATCTGTGGCATTAGCACACCATAATGACAACACACCATACACACTTGGAATGGCTGTTGCATTAGCACACCATAATGATAGCACACCATACACACTTGGAATGGCTGTGGCATAAGCACATCATGATAAAACACCATACATACCTGGAATATCTGTGGCATTAGCACACCATAGTGATAGCACACCACAGTACATACCTGGAATATCTGTGGCATTAGCACACCATAATGACAACACACCATACACACTTGGAATGGCTGTTGCATTAGCACACCATAATGATAGCACACCATACACACTTGGAATGGCTGTGGCATAAGCACATCATGATAAAACACCATACACACTTGGAATCGCTGTGGCATAAGCACATCATGATAACACACCATACATACCTGGAATATCTGTGGCATTAGCACACCATAGTGATAGCACACCACAGTACATACCTGGAATATCTGTGGCATTAGCACACCATAATGACAACACACCATACACACTTGGAATGGCTGTTGCATTAGCACACCATAATGATAGCACACCATACACACTTGGAATGGCTGTGGCATAAGCACATCATGATAAAACACCATACATACCTGGAATATCTGTGGCATTAGCACAACATAGTGATAGCACACCATAGTACATACCTGGAATATCTGTTGCATTAGCACACCATAATGATAGCACACCAAACATACCTGGGATATCTGTGGCATAAGCACACCATAATGATAGCACACCATACATACCTGGAATATCTGTTGCATTAGCACACCATAATGATAGTTCACCATATATAACTGGAATATAGCATAAGCACACCATACATACCTGGAATATCTGTGGCATGAGCACACATCTTAGCACACCATACATACCTGGAATATCTGTGACATTAGCACACCATAATGATAGCACACCATATATACCTGGAATATCTATGGCATTAGCACACCATAATGATAGCACACCATACATACCTGGAATATCTGTGGCATTAACACACCATAATGTTGGTGTTGATGCTCATTAGTTTTCTGTAGCTGCGAAGCATATTCATTTTTACTCTCCTCACACTGCTGACTCTTAGCCATGGCAAAGTGTTTACTCTGAAATAAACATGAAAAGTGTTTACTCTCAAGGTCTGTGATTAGTCATTTGTTGGTTTTCTTGTTCATTTTTTCTATCATACAATACAGGCTTTGGTATACAAACTTGAAACCTCGACAGTGCTTGTTTTTTGAGACCAATGATTCAATTATGAAATTTGGAAAATTTTCAAAAATAAAGGTTTTTACCTTTTCTACCTCTGCCCTAGCAAGGTTCATATCTGCATCCGCCCTCTTATAGCCTTCCTGTGCCCTCTCTGCTTCTTTGAATGCCTTTTCATATATTTTTTTGGCCTAAAAACATAACAAGTACTGTATACCATACGATATGAATTCATTGTCATATTATTTCAGTGTTTTGCAAAACAAACAAATTAATAAATGAACTGCAAATCAGTGATATATGTGAATATACTTCATATATTTTTTTGGCCTAAAAACATAACAAGTACTGTATACCATACGATATGAATTCATTGTCATATTATTTCAGTGTTTTGCAAAACAAACAAATTAATAAATGAACTGCAAATCAGTGATATATGTGAATATACTTCATATATTTTTTTGGCCTAAAAACATAACAAGTACTGTATACCATACGATATGAAGTCATTGTCATATTATTTCAGTGTTTTGCAAAACAAACAAATTAATAAATGAACTGCAAATCAGTGATATATGTGAATTTATACCACTCTAAGTCCGATTACAGTTGTATAACATGGGTCTATAACAACGATATACAGTGGAGAGTGGTATATCATCATCAAATACAACTCCTCCGTATACACTCCAGCGTATACCACTGTAGAAGTGCATTCTGGGAACAAATGAATATTGACCGAAGAACGAGGTGTATGTTTTGTTACACATGATTTCCTAGAATCAAGTGATGTCATAAATGGATCGAGATCAACATCGGCATTACTGAGTTGGCAATGGGATATTTTTATGATTTTTAATTGTTATGATTGTGTTTGTCAACTGTAATTGAACTTAGAGTGGCATAATAAGATTATATAATGGTTCATTCTGTATATCGTGCATTTTATACTCTCGTGAGAATATAATATATTCACTCGTTCGCTACGCTCACTTGTGAATATATCATATACTCACTCGAGTATAAACACGATATACAGAAAGAACCATTGTATAACCTCATAATACATGGTGTATGAAATCCTCATATTCTGGCAAATAATTACTTATTCAAAACATACATCTTGCATATAAAAGTAATTTGTTATAAAAGTTTCTTACATTTTCTAATTGTGATATTGATGACTGTAACTGCTTCTGTTGTTTAGCACCTTCATTTAAACACTGGAAAATAAAAGGAAATTATTTATTAAGCCAAATCGCTTCACATTTTCAATCCTTTATCTTATAGCAGTGATGGGCATATATAATAAGGTTGTATACTTTGGAGGTTTTGGATATAGGGTTTATCATGGGGAAAATATGTGTATCTCCTTAAGGACAGATATGAGATGAATACAATATACATGTATATTTGTTTCTTCTGCTTTGAATGTGGCATAAAAATGGTTATGGAAATGGTAAACATCCTCTCATGGATAAAAATCATATCCCTAAAATCCTAAGATATCCTCTATTCATATCTTAGCAATAAAACAGGAATGTCAACCATTATTTATCTAAACAACAGAAAAGAAAAATGAAACCCAGTAAATAATACATTGTACAAGACTAAACAGAAAGATGAAAACACTTCCTATACAGTGCCAAAAGTTAAATTACAATGCTCAATAATAAAAAAACACAATAGCACACAAGGAAGTACACATTTAAACACATGAATAAAAAGCCATAATACAAAATGCACTTACTTTTTTCCTTTCGATTTTTATTTCTTCTATGAGAGCTCGACATTCTTTATAAATACTGGTTTGAAGGTTTTCTGCGATTACTTCATGTTGCCCAGCCAAATCAAACAGTTCATTGATACTTTGTAGGAATCCTTTTACAACTGAGAATCTGGAGAAAGAGATGGGTGAATTGTAATTTTGTTTTTATTTATTTATCGAAAAATTTAAGCAAATTAACATAAGTATTGCTAATTTTGTAATAACTTTTGTTATCTTGCCTTTTCCTTCATGAAACTTGCACAACCTAAGGAATACATATCTGACCTTATCCTATCCAAATTTCCAGACAACCAACTTAGTATTGACAAAGTTATGGTTACTATAATAGTAACCATTGTCCACCATTGGGAGACAGAGAAATTATTTTTTTAGTTTTTAAATTATAGTCCTGCATCTAGTCTCTGTTTCTCTTGTGCCTTCTATAAGGAAAAGGGGTTGAATTCATTCTGATAACCGGCAATACAAGAGGCCACAGTGTCTGACTTAGATTAAAGGGTTGGATTGATAAATAACAAAGAAAGAAATTTTAAAGAAACGTTAATACTGTACAATTGTAAACTTTGGTCATTTGTACACTAACAAGCCAGCCTGTCATTATGAATGATCTAATATACTACAGACTGATCAAAGTATAGACTCAAACGAAATTACATCTGAAATAACTTAATAAACTCGACTATAAAATATTGTTATCAGGTTAACGACCCAGATGTTATACAATATTATTTTCTGGGTTCAATATACTTTGTAGCTCTGAATTAAAAATGAAGCATAAAGCAAGGTCAAACATACACAGTATAAAGAAGGAATATAGTTAGACCTGTCTGAAAAGAACACTACTGAGAGGGGTCCATATTGAGGTGTTCATAGAGGTGTTTATATTGATAGATAACATGAAATTCAATTGATCTTCTGAAACCCAGACACCAAAAGTGTTCACAACTCAGGATGTTTACTCGAAATAAAAATAGTATATGAATACATACAAAAAAACACATAATTATAGTTTTTCCTTTGGGGTAATTTTATATACTTTTGGGTAAATTCTTATGAGGAAAATAGTTCAGACTGATGGTGAATTAAGGCTAATAATTGACTTTTCGAGACAATTCTGTCAGTTTAGATTATAAGCAAAATGCAATTATGACATGTCTTACAAGAATCAATAGTTCTGTCCAAGGAATTTGTGAACATATTATTTCCACAAATTGTCTTGCTCTTGGTAATGCTAATTTACAGAATGTATCACGTAACTTTCTATAGAATACTTATTGACTTTCAACCTAATATAATAGACAATATAGCATATTGTTCATTATACATATATTGAATATTCACAGCATTTCAGTGTGATATAATAGAGTAATTGAATGTTTACAATTAAAGAGGAAGAACAAAAGCATTTTATGTTTTTGATTTGGCAATACTAGCTAAATAATGACATATCAGTGACCTCCCCATCATTGGAGCATGTGGGTGCAGCACCCATGGAAAATTTGAAAATAAACTTGCACCCACCTGAAAATCCCTTTGCATCCACTTGAAAATGAGAAAAATCATGAAAAATAGGCTTATTTTGACCAATTTTGGACTGATTTGAGAGAATGTAAATTGTGCACCCACTTGAGAAAAAATCTTGTGGAGAATACTGCATATTTATTCGAAGATTTGCCTGGGTGAGTTTTTCTGAAACTGGTTAATATGATGGTACCTATTAAAAGGATGGCTTTGATGCATCTGTATTTTCAATTTCTCATGGATAAAATTAGTTCCGAATTTGACTTGTATTAAACGTGCAAATTATTGAACAAAATAATCTCATGAAATCATTAACATACAGCTGTTTCAAGCAGCTTGTACAAAGACATGTGAAGTTTTATCTACTAATCAGAGAAGCACAATACATTGTTTTCTCAATCATTGAGATTAAAATATTCTCACGCTTAAGAAAGAATATGAAAGGAAATTATCTCCATGGATCTTATATTTATGAAATTGATTTTGTTCCGGAACTCCAAAATCAGTTAAAGGATATTGCATTATTTTGACTTGAATAGATATTCAATACAGAATAAAAATTCAATATAATACTAAACTTCTTTTCTGATAATTATTAACAAAACCAGTCAAGATTTGGCTTAGATAACTGAAAAAAAACTGTATATATAAACACCTCTAATTAAGAACACTATTTTCTTTGAACACATCTCAATATAAACACTTCAGTTCTATTATTTCAATATCTAATAAAAATCCAATATCAAAAGTTTGTAATCAGAATTATATGCAGACACATTTTATTTTAGCAGCATTTACTCTAGATTCACTTAAGATAGACATTTACTATAAACAAAAGGAAGTTCAAAATATCAGATTAAGATCATTTCTTTATGATCAACCAATATCAATATGGCAGAAGTTATGCCAATTTACATGCCCAATGTTGCAATATCTGGTTTCTATGTAAACGTCCCATAGCAGCAGAGATAAGAACAAAACCACCTGCTATTTGTTACAAATGCCACACTACTGTATATATCAAACACTGGCCACAAAAAATTGGAGACTTTAACGAATATGAAGCAGGTTTGGGGGTAGAGGTCACAATATCCAATTGGAAATATCTCAACAGTCACGATTCTGGCTGGCCTGGTTTAAAACAATGTGGAGACAACATGGCATTTAAACTGAAGTTATTGTGTACTCTGGCAGAACCTCAAGAAACATGATCAACTTAACAGTAATTTTAAAAATATTTGGAGTGTCACTATTTAAGACATTTTTAAGGTTCTGTGCCAGACAGTGTGAACGATGCAAAGCCTGTCTTTAGTACAGAAAGAAATAGAACATTATGCCAGTTAATAGAGCAGAGTATTTAAATATTGGCATTTATATTTTGTAGAAAGATTTACATTTTTCTATTCAATCCCTAAAGAGATAATTTTTAAAACACTGTAAAATAGATATATTACTAGAATCTTGATTTATTTGCTTTAATAAATGCCATTCAATTCTATTTCATATAAATTGAATAAGATGAGGATTTAGGTTAAACATTTATTTGTATACCCTGGCCTTATTATTCAGTTCAATCTGTGACATTTGAGAGAATAATCTGATTATATACTAACATGTACTCCTAATATAGATATGGTTTCTGGGATTTTATCAATATGAATGAAATTGTAGAAACAGTTCAACACCAAATTTAATAATTTCAGAGATCTCTAATGTTTCGTTATGAGAAATTGTGTTTATTTAACCTTAAAATAAAGCAGGGTATAAATTGAACAAAAAATTTGTGAAAAATATTTTCATGTACTTACTGTAATTCATCTTCCTCTTTTTTCTTTGGCTGATAATTTTTCACTAACCGTCTGAAAGCAGAAAAATAATCAACATAAAATGAAGTTAATCAAACCAATTTAGCCAACTGATGATGCTGACCCCACTCTAATATTAAGTACAGCATCTTGACCCCCTCCCCTATTCACTTCACCACAAGGAGGTGAAGTGTGGAGGGGGGGGGGGGGGTTACAAGGGCTTAGTAGCATTTGAAGTTCAAAATAGGAAGGTAGGTAGGTAGGCTCTATGGGAAACAAGGCATTTGATAAGTTAATACATATTGTAACAAAACTGTAACGACTTGTTACAGACTCAGAGTTCCTATCATTATCGAACAACTGGCAAACGTTTAATAACAGTCACATAAAAGAAGGCTAGGAGGTGACATCATTGGACAATAGAATAGAATGCACAATATACAATTTACACATCTTAAAAATTTCCAGGGGGTGAACCCCCTTATCCCCTTTCTGGGGCTCGCTTCGCTTGCAGTGATGCATACCCAAAAAATCGTACCCCCTTGACAATTGCTGGCTATGCCCCTGAGCAAATATAGAGGAAGAAAACATGTAGCAAATGGAAATGCTCTTATAACACTGTGTTTAGTATAACTGTGACATTTTATTTGTGATATTTTTTGGCAATTCTATATCATGAGATAGATGAGCCTAAAGCAAGATACATGTATACTGGTTGGTATATCAACATAACTTTCATTTCATTTATCTCTAGATATATTAATAGAAAAGGTCAAAGTAACATATACTTATCAAATTATATCTATTTAAAGTTCAAAGGTTCTAATTTATTTAAAAGAAGTTATTATTTCTCATAAAAAGTAAAAAGTTCTGATGTGGCATAAAAATACCTCACATTCAAAATACACACATAATCTCTAAAATATCAATGCCATTAATAAGAGGGTGGTCCCTTTTCATAACAAACATGGATGTTTTACTATTGCAATCGTTACTCTACTTGCCTATTTCATGTGGTATACAGAAAAGTCAAGTTCCTCATCCCCCAATGTTCCTATTCTCTTTGCCTTTGATATATTCAGATTTGATTGACAGGTCTTTTTACACATGTTATGTTAGGGTGGAAAAAACGTTACCACCTCTCATTTGTTACAGATGCCGAATGCCGAACTTCAACCACCCCAACTATCCCAAACCATGATCTAATATGAGGAGAAACAATATCTAATCTGAGATAGTTGAAAAGTATCTATTTGATCTAAATGTATTCAATTATCTCATATGACTAACAAAGATACAGCCATCTTTACCCCATGCAAGATATTGCCCTCTTAGATATAATACATTCCAGAAGAAATGAAAAGAAAGATTTTATGAATACTTCAAGATGCTTTTTCATCAATACAAACAAGTGCACCAAAAAATGTACATTAATATGGTTTTATTGACAAGATGATTGGTACTAGGTAACACAGGTGTAACTTCATCTTTGTTTACATCCATGTGACGTCAAAATGATAATCTTGTGTTTCATTTCTTGGAGATAAATAATCATCATTAAAAGTGAAGACTTATCAGTTGAGGATAACAAGGAAATGAATCAGTCAAATTTCTCATTTGTATGAACTAACCAGAGCATATTTCCATCTTGAAATGACTTAGGAAGGACATAACATAGTAAAATCAGACAAGGCACGTCATGCTTCATGCACTCTGAGTGTCAAATTCAGGTAATTGAATCTCTCTTTTAAATGACCCAAATGAAACCATTAGAATGGTTAAGATTAGCTGTTAACCAGTTTTTGTTGAAGGACTGAGTATAATATAGAAAGTTGCACATAAAATCTGTTTATTGCAATTTTTTGAAGATTTTAAAGTGAGGCAAAAAAATTATTATCAGAGTGAGGCAAATGAGGTTGTACAAGAAGTTTTGTAACTTCATCTGAAGCTTGCTCATCAACCTTACAATAATTTCAAAGAATAACATGAAACAATGCCACAGTTTCTATCATAGTTGAATATAATAAAACTTTAGTATAAAGAGTAAATAGTAAATATAGCTGTCAATAAAACCACTCTATTCCTTTTGGTATTAGAGTTAAAGTGAATGAGCAGAGTAAATACACGACAATGAAGTTGTTTGTTTGTTTGCTTTATGAGGCCACAATAAAGTAACCCCAACCTCATCAACATATCATTCAATCAACATTTACAGAGTGAACTTATATAAAATAAACATTACATGAAAGACATTTCACACATGGTAGTACATTCAATATAATAGAAGTTGTGTTCTAAATGAAAGTCATGTTGATTTATTTTTCTAGCTAAGTGAGAATATCCGTTGGTGAAAGTTTATCAACATCTGCCTTGAACCAAAAACTTCAGTGCTATTGCACCATGTAAAATCAAAAAGAATTCAGACGATAATAGTCCAAGTCTAAAAGAATCAATAATACAAGAGAATCTCTCGTTCAGAGTCATTCATCAATTTTTGAGATATTTTTTTTAAACAATAGGCTTATTTCATTGATATATTTTTCATGGCATAATACACAATCATGCGGCAAATCGCCTTTCGGCATTTTATGTCCGCATAGAGATGGTGGAATCTTCATAATAGCTACATAAGTGCAGAATATTTAGTTTGGCACTGGCTGTTGTAAATTGTTACCATACTCTACTGGAAAACAACAACAAATACAGTATAAGGGAAAATGAACTTTGTCCAGCAAATACAACGCTAACATGGACAATTTCCCCCTCCCATAAACATAAGAACATGAAGAAATGAGGCTGGGAAGCAATTGTAAATATGTTTGTTATGAAATACTTAATTAATAACATTGTTAACCACTACAGTGATTAATTTACAGGTCAAGAAAGTGTAAGTATATTGCTTTGGAATAAACCAAAGGATATAAGGTTAGACTCCCATTTCCCATAAACTTTTTCTAATTGGGGTTACAGTTATTAATTACGTAGCAATGTCTATAAGATAAATACTTATTTACTGTATGTACTTTTTCCTAATACCCTTTATTTGGGCGATGGTATAATAAATAAAATTGAAATTGAAGTAAAGATGAAAAAAAGTGTCTGACCCCCTCCTCCCATCTGGTTCACCTTGTAGATGTGACATGTGAAGATGTGAGACAACAAGGACATGACACAAGATTCACCCAAAATCAATAGCAAATTATTTCCTCCATGATTTACACAGAATGTAATTACATACTCCCACTTTGAGTATACTCTCTTGCATGACCATAGGGAAATGTAGGGAAATGGAGACATAAAAGAATTATTTCAACACTCTACATACTACAAACACAATCTCTAATGGCTACTGCCACTTGGTCTCAAAGTGGGCAGTAGACATGTTTTCAACAGCTAGAAAATAGAACTCGATGTGGCATGAAATATAAAAACCACAGAACATTTCAGTTCATTTACGTAGACCAAAGTGGTAAGCAAAGCCTGTTCTCTTACTTTTACTTACGTCAGATCGAGATAAGAGATACCCTGAGTGCCATATCCTAGTAACCAAACTCTGAGTAGGAGAAATAAATATCCAGTTTTGATACTGAAAGAACTAAATTACCCCAAAAGTAGAAGTCACCATCTTTAATGGTATTTTGATTAAGTAGTTAGCTAAATCAAAGGATAATCTCTAACTCAAGAATAAAGATCAGATGAAGCTCACTTTTATAAAAGCAAAATCAATATTTTGAAAGGGTAGAAGGGGTCTTGTAGTAAGAATATATAAGAACCATCATTAGACAGTAAATCTACTTTACTTATGTTTTAAGAAAGCATGTATATGTATTTAAAAGGTTTATGTTCAGTAATCTATTGGTACTAATATTATAGTACTATAGGAATTTCATTGTTGATCATTAACCCAAATGTAAATCTTAATAGTACATGCATATTTTTAGTTAATTTACACTCAAAATCAAGGTTGAAATGCAATCTTTATACAAGGTATTTACATGCAATATGTCACCACCTAGCCAATGACTGAATGCCAAATACCAACTACCAAACACCATCCACAAAAAGTTGGAGACTATAACTATGTCATCATGTGGTGACAGAAACATTGTTTGTTTCAATCTATCCTTTTCAGTTGAAGAAACCATATTCCCAAAAAACATTATCAATATATACTTCAAACATGTACAGATTACTTAGTAAAGAGAAAATAAAATGTTTTGACTGCTTCTTTATCAGAAATCTGATTAAGGTCTTACAGACATATATTAAGAAATCAAACGACATGAACATCTATCGAGTGGCAGTTTTGTTTGTACATATGCGATATATATATTATGCATGAGACTGAGTCACCCAGTATTTCTTCACTCAGTTAGACTTTGTACTTATGCAATAAATGGAATTAAAAATATAATGGATCAAAAAAATATTCACTTACTTTAATTTCTGTGCATATTCAAGTTCTATTTGGCACCTTTCCTTTATAAAATGACAGTATTTCTCACAAAAGTCTATTCCCTTTTCTGTATGTTTTCCAATGGGTTCATACTGATCCTGCAAATATAAAGAAAACAATCATGTAAATTGCAATTCAAGACTATTCCCCTTTCTGTATGTTTCCATATGGGTCCATACTGTTCCTGCAAATATAAAGTGCAATATAAGAACAGATGTTACACTTCCCCCATTTATTGCAGTTCGTCCTCACATACAAAATAGTGAATTGTTTTTTATGACAACAAAGGTTCAAAAGACTGGAATAACCACAGTGGTAAGATGCTATGAAGATGATCTGAAAATGAAACATAATTGATTCAGTTCAAAATTATATAAAGGAGCATATTTTTGGATATTGGCTCCATTTCAATAAGATTTGAATATGCAGAACATCACATCATGTGTCTCTAGAGATATAAAATCTGCTCATACAAATACATATGTTTTCATCCTAACTGCATCAAACATATTTTGAAAGAAAGGAAAATGTAATATGAGGGGGCATAATCACAAAACCATTATCTACTGCCCCTCCCCCTTCTGTAGAATGAAAACAAAACACATCATCATCTCACCTTATATGACACAGAATATGTCCTAGCCAGAGACTTTCTCTTGCTTCCATTGGTTAACATGATTCCCACGTTCATTATCTTGTCTAATCCTACATATATTATGAATATAGTCTCATATGATGGAATTATGTTTATTCTGTGTTACATCAAGTAGTTATCCAACACCAAGGAAGATATAAGGCAGAATATCTGATATTTATTTAATGCATATATGTGTCTCCAGAATCCTTCAAAAATAATATTCCAAAGAATCGTAGAAGTCACAAGATTTCCTGATTGAAATCCAGCTGTTTATTCTGATATACAGAGAACCAGGAAATTGTTTCTTCCCTTTTCCAACATCCAAATATGAATTCTTAAACAATTCATAAACTTTGATACAACATCATACAGCAATTATGATCCTGGTTGTTAAACAGTTCCATGTATAATCCATTTCTTACAGCTTTTTTATTTCTCCAATGTTATCCAAGAATAAAGTAAACATTCTTTCAGATTTCAAATTAAACAGCGTGAATCCAGGTAGCAAAACATCCGTATTAGGGACAACCTATTCCTTTGTTGCAGTGCCACAGTACTTAGGGGTCAAGCTGACCTGTTATAGTACACATCTGCACTTATTAGTCCCAGGAATCAACTTGTTAATGAGTAAACTTTGTAGAAATCTGCACATATAATCCTAAGAGTTAATTCAAAGACCTGGCTGCTAATATGCTTAATGAGGTATTCAGGTATAGGTATTTGTTTTGCAAGTCTAGTATTGCTCTAATAATTCCTCATGGTTGATTCACTATCTAGGAGAGAATCGTCAATGTGCCGTGATTCATCCAGGTAGACCTTTCTGACTCATCAAATTAATATGTTTTGCGACAATGATTTTGTCATTTTATCTCCTGTAATGTTTTCTTAATTTCTGGTGCTATACTTTATCCTTATAGATTTCCTGAAATAATTCAGATTCTCTGGGATAAATCTCGAGTTCTATTCTATTATCCTAATATCATAGTCCTGAGTCAGTATTCTAATCCACTTACAAATCCTCAGACTTTCTACCACAAAGATGCTACAATTCAATACTGCTTGGAGTAAAACTTGCCCTAATGCCTCCGAATCTAATAAATCTTGTGCTGTATTAGTATGATCTCTCTGCTGTCTAATAGGGAACTACACAATAAATATCACTACAGTTATTTCTTTTTTACTAAATAGATAGGAAACGAGTTGAATAAGTAAAGAATAAGCTACATCCACATGAAGTCAACACTCTAAATTATTCATAAATGCCAGAAAAATGATAACTTTCTAAAGTCTAAGGAAGAATTGTAAGGAATAAGCTTGAGGATGTGGATGTTTTATGCATGGAAACTGACCAGAAGTCAGACTAAATCACATATGTTAATGATAGAATCCCAAAATAGTTCATCATAACATAATATCCAATTCCAATAGTACTTAGGCCCTATGTTAAAGATTCCTCCCTTGTAATGACAATTCCATTCAGTTCATCTTCAATTCAATGGAAACACCCAATTTTTGACATTTCTACAGAATTTTGAAGTAGCATATCACATCAATTTCTATTATTCCTTGAGAAATCTACTCATTTCTAACCTTTTTTAGCTCTCAATACACAACCCCATGATAGTTCATCCACGGGGTGTTCTGACCATTTTGTTCTTACTCACTAATAATCTAAGGTTGATACTCTAGTTAATGAGAATTCTCCAAAGAAAAGTAACAAATTATTCTATTGGTTTACTTTCGCCATATGCTGTAATTGATTATTCAACCTATGTGTGTGAAGTACTATGTAGTTGGTTCAAAATCCTCTGAAATTGTACTGAAAATTCCTTCTTTTGCAATGATCTAATGTTATTCTTTGCAAAGTTTCAGTCTTTCCTTCTCCAGATAATACAACCAGTATTAATCAAGTAGAGCTCAGTGTAAATCCAGTGTACTTTTAGCTACTTTCAGTACATATTCAGCGTTATCCTTATACTTTTAGTAACAACCATCCAATGTATGTACATGTATCAATTAGCATAAATTCAGCTTATTTGCTATCTTCCTTTAGGTAAAAACTGCCTATATGTGTTAGAAGCAACAAAATCCAAATGTCTGGAACCAGTATACACCAAAAAAGAGTTAATCTTCCAGAAATGATAACAAAGTGCAGGATTCAGCCGTTTCACCTGTAGAATCTGCTATTAAAATGTTCAGATAACTAACTCAGAAACATCTGTCAGATATTGAATCCCTTACAGATATTAGTCCAAATACTCAAAAAATAAAATCACACAAAATCAAAAACCCAAGATGAGAAATGATCAATCAGATTCAAATTGATGTAAAATATGAAAATAAAAATGTAAGTATTTGTTTCTTCTTATAGATCGAGATGTGAAACAATGCATACTGTATATAATAATAACAATGGGATAAGAAGAATATGTAAGGGAACACTGACCCAAAGGACTAGTGGATTCACCCCCATCAACAGATGTTCCACAAGCCATAGACAACCTCTACAAAAATTATATCGTGAAAAACATTTTCCTCATCAGACAAGGTAATATAAAAATGAGTGAAATGAACCAGGAAGTCAGCAGACATTATATTTGAAAAACCAAACACGACAGAACATAATTTAAATCAATTATTAATCAAAAAAGAAATATCATTGATTATAGTGAGAACTTTAGGCAGGGGAACTAACTGACCCTAGTAACTAAACAACAAAGCAGCTGCTTCATCAATGAATGATTACAACCTGTCAAAATAGTTCAATATTACTGACTGATTTCAATGTTAGATTTATATGGACGATATGAAAACAAAAGTTTGGGTTGATTCTTAACTCTCAGCTACCATGTGGTTCGTTTATAACTTACGATTCTATGACAAACAATGACTAGCAACCAAATCTTAAGTTACAATAAGTCACAAAAATGCCCCCCCCCCCCCCAAGTATCAAAGCATAGTTATCAGTGTAAAAAAATGAATCTCTTTTAAAGAGGAAATTCAAGGGTATTACCCCCCCCCCTTCCTCGAACCCCTTCCTCCTGATAGGAAGAGTCACAATGACCTCCTTTGAACTAATTTAACTAATTCCAAAATATTGACATTTAAAACTATAAAAAGAGAGATAACATTTACATGGAATGATAAAATATTCAGATATTGATTTTGCATTAAATTCCAAATCAAATGTTTTTTATCAGCCCCGGGATCAGCCCGGAGTGTGTTCTAGAATATTGGTCACACTTCAACCATGCATTTAAAGTCTTGCCTTGGGACCTATGAATAGACAACAAAGACAAGAATCTGACCTTAACATGTCACCATGCCCTTCATTTCAAAGATAGATCAACAATGACAGGTGGGCCTTTCAGTACACCGGAGATGGTATCATTAACAGTACAATAACATATTCATAAAATATAATCCATCATGAATTAAAATCTATAAACTTTTTCTATTATTTGTTTCAAGCAACCGTTTGCAGCTTTATTTTTCTACTTTGGCGATAACTGATATTATGGTTGCTATGGAAACAACTGCTTTCGTCACAGACCACAGCAGATCAGAACTAGAAAACATTTCAACCTGAGCCATAAATATGTAATAGGCTGATTATTTCCATGAGATAATACTAGCTGTGGATCCCAAATTGAGTTCCTTTTTTAGCAGTAATCATTTTTACAAATCCTTAATCTATTGAAATAAATGCTAACTCTTGTTGTAATCTATCATTTACTAGACGCTTCTTACCAATATCCAAACATATGTTTAATTTATTTTACAAATGGAAAGCCAAATGATGATCCAGCTTAGGCAATAAGATCAATTCTGCATAGTTCACCATTGAGAATGGCTCTTTAGAATTCCCAAGCTACACAATTACTCAGTTTCTAATTCCCATGCCCATATGTTATATAAACCTGACGCCACAGTGTTCATCAGCAGAATTAGCCATTTATTGAAAGAACTGATTTAAAAAAAAACATGGCATTTGCATCAGTAGAAATTAATTACTTGAGTGATTTAGAATAAAGTACTTGTATGAAATCCAATGTGTCAAATTCTCAATTTCTTAGACCCCCTCCCCAGTATTATTCCAGTGATGACTCCATGCAGGGTTTGATTTAAGGGTAGCAAGTAGCAATTTTCTACCTGATTTAATCATTTGCGACCCGAGTAACATGTTGTTATTTGTTTCTTGCAAAGAACAAAGATTGCTAATGATCAAAAAGGCTGACATAATACCCTGCTACGTTGTGGATACTATTTGACATAATAAAATAATATTCTGAACTTATGGGCCATATCAGGTCAAGGTCATATCCATTCTTAGTCCTCATATTACTGTATATCGTTTCATTTTTGTTTACAAGTTTGACACCTGAGATTTAAAAAAAAATATTATGATAGCTTATCCGAGTGTTTCATTTTCCATTGTGATACTCCTTTCTTTTATTTGCATAAATCCTTTTGTGTTTCAACCAAAAAACCAAACATCAGTGTAACGATTGGTTACAACAAGTGTTGTCGCGATTAACCTTTACCATGCTGCCTTATTTCAGCAAATATATCCCACGCATCTGGCTTCTTTTTCAAAGAGTGCAAAAAATGATATGCCTGGACTAAATAATTAATATCTCAATAACTACTGAATGAATCTGGATAAAATTTTCACAAAGGGAAGATACAGTGGCCTGGTTCATGAAAAAAATGTTCTTATGAATATTTTTCGTACAATAACATGACTGGGCATAAATATACCATGAATACTCCTCCGAAATCCGGCAGCACGCTAAAGGTTAATCGATACATCGCGATATACATCGCCAAAGCTGATTCTGGCGATGCATCGATGTCTGAAACAAAACATCAATGTTTTTAAAAAAAATTAATTTGCTAAAAATCACCCTTTCTTACCTTCTTTTGACGCAAATCGCTTACCTTTCTCATGTCTAATTTCATTTTCCAATGTTTTCTGATATTCTTTCGCTTTTAAACTGCTTTAGCAAGTCGAAATGAACCATTAATCTAAAAAAATTACTTTACTTTCACTTCACCGTCACTAGAAGTTCCTGGATGTACCAGCGTACTCTTATTAATTTGTTCTGTTCGGTATTTTAGTGCATAACGTTCAGTATTTCAGTGCACTTTTCTCGGACTTTTTCTCGATGTACATCGCAATGTGCATCAATGTTTACAACTGAAAATTGCCGATGCATCGATGTACGATTATGGCACATCGCGACAACACTAGTTATAACCCAAAATTCAGCTAAAAAATTATGTGCCTGGTAATTAATTTTCCTGGTTCCTCCATTTTTAGATATACAGATACTTTATGAGATTTTTTAATATTGAAGAAGGCCTAATATAATTATAACTAATGTTAACATTCTCCCACCCAACTCAGGGACTGTATCAAAGCGACAAGCATTCATTTGGTTATATCTTTAACAGTTACTTAAACAGGGTTCGTATACCTTTTTCAAAATGAATTTCCCTGACATTTCCCTGACATTTCCAGGCAAAAAAGGAAATTTCCAGATCTAGTTTTCCTTGCACGGCCTCTAACACGTCTCTAACAACTGTATTAT